AGTGAGTTCCAGGCCAACCATAGCTACACAGTGAGCCCCTGTCTTAAAACAATCAAACCAACAACCAAACCAACCAGGTATTATGGAAATCCTTGATGCCGTACCTAAGCCAGGTGTGCGGGGCCTGTCTCATAACCCCCACCTCCAAGAGTCTGAGGTTAGGCAGTTGAGGCCCACGTGGGCTATGTGAGGAGATCCTGTCTCTAAAAAGCAGAGTCAGACAATCCATCATCTCTCAGGCACAAGATGAGAGATCTCCGTCACTGGGTGCCGTGCCCCAGGATGTAGGGACAGGCCCGCTGCTGGGCTTGTCGAGGACGCACACCCACACGGAGCCTCCCCTGTCTGCTTCCTGGCTATGGCAGGTCTTCTGTTGACTTCTGTTTTACCCTGTTTAGGCTGGCCACATTTAGCCGGGCTCCGCAGCCAAAGCCAGAGCCTATGGCCGCTCTTTCCAAAGGCCTCTGAGTCTGGAATTTATCTGCGTAGAGCAAGTCTTTTTTTTTTTTTTTAATGAAACGCAAGTCATTGAACCTTGTCCTTTGTAGATGAAGTGAGAGTTACTTTCTGAGGACTGGCTCAGGCTAGAAACCAGCTGGTGTACAATGGCTGCTGCCGTCCTGTGCAGGAACAGCTTATCTGTGAAGCACGTTCGCCCTCACACAGCCTGTTGTCTGGGACCGTCCTGTGTGCTGTAGCGATGCGTGACAGCTGGCGCAGGTTCAGGAGGTGTTATCTCACCGAGAGTCAGTTTCACTGAGCTGATCCGGTTGACAACCCTCTCCCACGCAGCCATGGCTGGCAGTGAGTGTGGACATGTGCTTTGTGTGGAGACAGTGAGCAAAACCCAACCATGTAGGTAACCCAGACACAGCCACTAGTTACCAGGGCAGATGGTCACGTGGTGACCCGGTGCTCGCCGCGGTGCCCCTGTGTGGTGATGCCTTCGGTTGGCAGCTGGTAGAAAGGACTGCAAGACTGGCCTTAGGGGCTTATGCCTACCCAGAGAGTAATGGAGACGAAAACGCCATGCAAAGGCCGTGATGGGAGGGGGTGCTGAGGGACAGAGTGACAGCCCCATACAGCAAGCTGCCTTCCGTGGCTTTGCCATCGCGGGACTTCCTGCTTGAGCTGAAGCAAGGAGAGGCTGAGGTAGGTGTTCTCCCCAGCTCTGTCCTTGTGAGACACAGAGCCCAGCCCCAGGAGTGATGATGCCACTTCGTTGACTCTGTTTCAGTCGGTGTGGCCTGGGGTTGGGGAGCTGGCTCACCTCCCTTGGCCAGAAGTGTGTAAACAGAGTCTCAGGATTTTAGTTGTTTATTATAAATACAGTAGAGTGGGGAGCGTGCCCTTAAAATACGTCCCCAGGAACCTTGTGCCTGTGTGAGCCTGAGCCGTTTGCCTGCTTGGTTAAGAGGCCCGCATCTGAAGTCAAGAGCACACTGCCTCTGAAGGTGTTTTACTTGGGTCTGGGTTTAGGTGAATGGCGTGGAGATGGCTTTCCGGCCTCTCAGTGAGGCCTCTCAGTGAGGCCTAGCTTTCCCCAGGCACCAACCCCGGGATGACGGTGGCCTGCACTGCACTGTGGAGGTGGGTGGGCCCAGGTGAGTGGACGGTTTGACCCGTGCGCCCTGGGGTGTCTGAGGTTTGCTTGTTGTCCTCATCGCTTGGGTTCCCACAGAGGGAGGCCAGTGCCTGGCCATGTGTGACAGTTTGGATTTTGAGTGTCACCCCAAGGCACCCCTCCCCCCAGTGTCACAAGGCTTCATCACTGGCTTGAGGCACTATTGGAAGGTGGTGTAACCTGGAGGCAGGGTGTCAGTCCTACTAGTAGGAAATTAGGTCACTGGGGGCATGCTGAGTCCCTTTGCTTTCGGGCTGCCATGGGGTAAACGGATTTATTTCATCTACCTCACACTAAAGCCGTGATGTCCTGAAGCACCACAGGCCCAGTGATGGGGCCAAGTGATTGTACGTGCAAACTTTGGAAACCGTGAGCTAAAGAAGTGTTTCCTTCCTTTAGGTCGACTTTCTCAGGTCTTCTGTCACAGCGAAGGAAGGTTAACGCCATGGCAGGGTAAGGAATGGGCAAAATAGGCCCTGCACATAGGAACAGTCACTCCGCCGGATTGCCGGGGGAGGGAAGGGTTGCCTCAATTTCCTATGTTTGTATGCAGTGTAGGAGAGCGGGATGACGTCACTAACATCTCAGCTGCCTTCCCATGTGCTGGTGTCCCCAGCAGGGTCTTCTCTAAACCTGGTGCTCTTGGGAATGTCATGGATAATACATGGGCTAGAGAATCGTGTGTGTGTGTGTGTGTGTGTGTGTGTGTGTGTGTGTGTGTGTGGTGTGTGTGTGTGTGTGTACGCGTGCGCGCTTTCTGCTCCCTGAGCCAGGCTGCAGATGTGAGTGAGTGCAGCTGTGTGGTGTGCCCTGTGCCGCCAAATCCACTCTTAGTTCTTTCAGAATGTCTTTGGAAACTGCTTGTTCCTGGTACCCTAAACCAGGTCTACCAGAATTGGTGCTCAGAATTTGTTAGGTGGTCCCCCCCTCCCTTCTTTGGAGACAGAGTCTCTCTACATAGCCCTGGCTGTGCTGAAACTCACTATATAGACCAATTCATAGCGATCCACTTGCCTCTGCCTCCCAAGTGCTGGAACTAAAGGCGTGCACCACGACGCCTGGTTGATGATGGTATTCCCTTTTCAGCCTTGCCTTCCCTGTGCCGAGGTTCTCATCTGGTCCACCTTCATTCCGTGCTCACACCTGCTGGGTTCCATGTTCCTGGGCACATCCTCTTGGCCCGGCTCTGGCCATGCTGCTGTGCCTCCCTGGCTCTGTGGGAACCACCGCCCTGCCCTCCCCAGCCCAGTGGGAACCACTTCCCTGTCCCTGGCCTGTGTGAGCTGTTCCGTCCTGGCCTCGGGGTCCTGACTCACTTGGCACACCATTGGCGCAGCGCTCAGAAGGATGCTGCTGCTGTACCGCAGCGCTTAGGCTAATCTTCTCCTTGGTTGGGAGTGGTGCCTCACTCGTGTGTGTCGTTTGGGGCTGTTTTACACTGAGCACAGAGCGGAGGCAGACACACGGTTGACAGACTTGCCACTCGCTCCTGCCGTCAGTGGGGATGGACTTGTGGTTTTGCCTCCTTTCAAGTTCCTGTCCCTGTCAGTCTTACAAGTCTGTCTCAGTTGGAATGTTCACGAACAGGGTTGTGTGGATCTGAGCGGTGCATCTCCAGGTGACCAGTGATGCTGGCTCCCTTTGCCCTGTGGAGGATAGTGAGGACCGGCCAGGCTGTGGGTGCAGTAGGGTGGTGTGGTCCAAACCGCCAGTTCAGAGGTAACTGGCAGAGCTGAGTGTGGCGAGGGCACAGACCTTCCGGCTTGTTTTCTCCTCCCTGTCTGCTGCTCCTGTTATGTGGAGGCATGCTTGCCTCCTTCGGGAGCACCCAGGTGCCCATATGGAGAGGGGAGATTGCAGGAATGGGCTGTGTGCTGAGAAGAGGCATTCATTCACCTTTAGAGCTCTGGCCTCAAACTCAAACATCTGCCTGCCTCTGCCTCCCTAGTGCTGGGATTAAAGGTGTGAGCTCCCCTGTCTGGCTAGTTGTCTTGGTTAGGACAGATGAGGGATGGATGAGGGATGTCTCCAGCCATGTTGGGAGACAGGGAAAAAGGGAGTGAGAGGCTGGCTGGGCCTGTTCCACGTGGAGAAGGACCTCAGTCAGGGACGACTGCCCTGCTTACCCGGGACTGACCTACTCCCCCGCGCCCTGGGAGTGCCAGGGCTGGCCAGCCCCGGTAGGAAGAGATGCTTGTGTGCAGTTAGTTTGGTCCTTCCTTTCTGGTACATTCTCACAGCAAGACTGTCAGGGCCATGCCTGCCACCCTGTCACACCTCCTGTCCTGTCCCACACAGCCCCTGTCTGCTCCGCCCCCACGCTCTTCTCACCTTGGCTTCTTCATGCAGTCAGGCCCCTGGGTTTGGCCGAGCTCAGCTCCACCTGCCCACACAGCCACCTTCTGCCGTCTGTATTCTGCCCATGGCCCTCCGCAGGGGGGTCCTCTGTACTGGATAAAAGCTAACGCCTCCGTGGAGCCCTGAGCCCTCCCAGCCTGGCTGCCCTTCTCACCAACCCCCTTACCCGTGGGGGACACACTGTCCCTTGTCCTGGTGGACCCGTAGCTTGCCTCCTCATGCCTCTGTGTCCCGGCACCACTTTTCTGCCCTCGCCTTGCCCGCCTCCACAGCACGCGCGTGTGCACTTCTCGCTAGGTCCTGGGTGTGCTTATGTGTGTCTCAGCTCCTGAGAGCCGAAGCTCCGGGGCGACAGGGCATCCGCTCTTCTGCCCCGAACACGTGACACTGAGGAGGAGGTGCACAGCAAATGTTCGCCGAGTCCTCTATTGTGTGTTGTGTGGTGTGTGCACACGGGGGTGGGTATGTGGAGGCCAGAGGGGGACGTGGGGCGTTGTTGGGTCTTCCACTGCACCCGGAGCGGGGCTGGTAGCCAGCAAGTCCCCGCAGTCTTTCTGTCTGTGCCCTCCACCCCACCCCACCCTGCCCTGTGTGGGGTTGAGGGATGTGTTTGGCCATGCCTAGCTAGAGATTTGAACTTACAACCTCATGCTTGTGTAGCAAATGCTCTCTACTGCTGGGCCATCTACCCACCCGTTAGCGGCTTTTGTCGACTCTGTGTTGATCACATCCTAGGCCCTGGAGCATGCCTGCCTGTGCACGTGCGCGCACACATTACACACACACACGCACACGCACACGCACACGCGCACACACACACGCGCACACACACGTATATACCCTTACACACACAGAGGCACTCACTGTCCAGTGACACTGAGCAGTGTTGGAGATGGAGGACTGAGGAATGCCGGGAGGGGTAGATTGTAGCAGCAGGCAGGAACAGACTGAAGAGACCCATCCTGCTGGGATGTCCCTTCCACGCTCCGAGGCCGGAACACACATTGGAACCCGGAGCATCTGCTCACTGCTCTTGTTTTCCTTCTGCTTCTCCAGGAGAGAGCGGAGGAAAGATGGGAGGACGCAGCTTCCTTGGCCAACCCCGGGCCTTGCTCCCCGAGGGCCTCCTACATCCGAATAGTCTCTTCTTTTCATCCCTCTTCAGGTTTTCTCTCCCTTTATTTATCTTTAGTTTCCTGGTCCGGCAGGATCCTGTTCACACAGTTGCCAGCGTTTATTTCCTTAACCTATCCAGCCAGGGTGATGATAAGGTGGTGGGGTGAACTCGGGGCCTCACACTCTCCAGGCATGCGCTCTGTCACAGAGCCACGCCCCTGCCTTGACCCCTCCGATTCTTTGCTGCCCCTCCTCCGCTAGCAGACGGCGCCCGCAGGCACATGCCCCTCGTGTGCCCACCTGGGGGTCAGTCGCGCCTGCTGGCTGCTGTGTGCTTGTGCCGTGGCTCACTCCTCCAGTGCTTGGCCAGAGTTCCCCTCCGTTTTTGCATTGAAGAAGGGAACGTGTTCCAGCTTCTGCAGAATGTGGGTGAGGCTGAGACTCACTGGAGAAGGAGACAGCCGGGCTGAGGCTCAACCTTCTTTTCTTTCTTGGGTAAGAGCTCCCAGTTATTGCTGTCATGGTCTCTCCTAGGAGTGAGCTCAGCTCGATCTTTGTTTGAGAGCATTGCCTCTTAAGGAACAATGTATGGAGCACATGGCCCGAGACCCTAAAGTCACCCTGGCTGGGTGGAGTCTCAGCTGCCGAGTTCGGCAGTGGGAGGTAGGCCGGAGGAGCTTCCGGGCTTTTCTGCAGGAGATGGCCGCAGAAGGTAAGCCGCGGCACTGCACCGCACACGGAGTACCCCTCGCCTAGATGCTTTGGGACCGGAAGTGTCGGGTTGCCTTATGGTCAGGTGTGGCTGCTGGATCTCCAGCTGTCTTATTTCTGTCTTCCGGGAAAACAGAAGACAGATATCTTAGTCCATTTTCTGTAATTTGTAAAGAGTAGAAGTTGAAAATTGCCTGTGGTGGTGCCCAGCCGAGAACCAGGAGTTCAAGGTTAGCTTCTGCTACACAGCAAGATCAAGGCTAGCCTGGGCTACATGAGACACCCCTCCCCCCCCCAAGTTGTTTTTTTTCTGTTTGTTTGTTTGTTTTTTGTTTTAATTTTGGTTCATGTTTCTGGAAGCCAAGAACCCTAGAAGTGGCATTGGTATTATCTCAGCATCTGGTGACAGCTTCCTGCCCTGTCTTAACTATGAAGTCACTAATGCCACCATGGTGACACCAAGCTCTTGGGCTTACCTAGCCTCAGTTGCCCCCATGATGTCTCTGCCTCAAGGATCATGAGCTTCTGTGTCACAAGTTCAAACCACAGCAGGAAACAGATTTCTCTGGGAGATGTGGATGGTTCACATCTTTAAAGGATCTTTCTGGAAGGTACACCTACCCACGTCTTCTGTCGCATAGCCAGTATCTATGGAACAGTCAGTCACGTTGGTCTCAAGGAAGGCTGGGAAACGCCATTTTATAACTGAGCAGGTTGCTGAGCTGGAGTTCTCCTGTAGTGCTTGCTTCCTTGCTGGGGTTGGAGTGTTGAACATTGTCACTTCCTGCCTCGTGGGAATCCAGTTCTCCTTCCCTGTGTCCTGGGGACCTGGAGAGGACCAAGGCGTAAGGTCAGTGCAGACCCACCGAGGCTGGCTGGCCTCACCCTTCTCCTTTCTCCTCCTTCCTTTCGAAGGTCAGTTGGAAGCTGTAGGTGAGGTCTTCCTGGCCAGCACTGACAGTGTCCCTCTGTCACACAACTGTACTGTGATCTGTGAGAACAGGTGTCTTAGTTAGGCTTTCTGTTGCCGTGAAGACACACCATGACCATGGCAACTCTTATAAAGGAGAACATTTCATTGGGGTGGCTCACTTACAGTTCAAAGGTGTAGTCCATTATCATGGTGGGAAGCATGGCAGCATGCAGTCAGACATGGTGCTGGAGGAGGAGCTGAGAGTTCTTACATCTTGACCCACAGGCAACAGGAAGTGGTCTGGGACACTGGGCATGTCTTGAGCATATATGAGACCTCTAAGCCCGCCTCCACAGTGACACACTTCCTCCAACAAGACCACACCCACTCCAAGACCACACCTCCTAAGAGTACCACTCCCTTTAGGGGCCATTTTCTTTCAAATTACCATATTCCACTCCTTGGCCCCCAAAGACTTGTAGCTATATCATAATGCAAAAGTGCATTCAATCCAACAAGTCCCCATAGTCTTTAACAGTCTCAAACTTATTTAAAAGTCTAAAGTTCAAAGTCTCTGCTGAGATTCATACAATCCCTTAACTGTAATCCCCTGTAAAATCAAAATCAAAAAGCAGATCACATACTTCCAATGTATAATGGCACAGGATATACATTACATTCCAAAACATAGGGAAGGGAGCATAGTGAGGAAATACTGGACCAAAGCAAGACTGAAAGTCAGCTGAGCAAACTCCAAACTCTGCATCTCCATGTCTGATGTCAAAGTGCTCTTCAGATCTCCAACTCCATTCAGCTTTGTTGACTGCAACACACTTCTTTCTTTGGGCTGGTTCCACTCCCTGTTAGCAGCTCTCCTTGGCAGGTGTTCCATGGCTCTGGCATCTCTAATATCTTGGGGACTCCAAGGCAATCCAGGCTTCAACTCACAGCTTCATGCAATGGCCTCTCTACTAGGCCTCCATTCAGGGACATCCCTGACACATGTCTGGCCTCAGGGGCTTTCCTTAGTTGTGGAGGCACATTCCATAACCCCTTCCTTCAATCCTTAACTCCAGAACCATGTGGATGAAGTTGCCAAGTTCTGTTGCTTACTGGGGCTGGAACATGGCCCCCTTGTTCAATGACATCTTCACCAACTCTGTTTTCAGTGGTTACCATCACTGCCTAAGCTTGGCTGTCTTGGAACTCACACCATAGACCAGGCTGGCTTCAAACTCAGAGATCTGCCTGCCTCTGCCTTCCCAGTGCTGGGATTAAAAGAGTGCACCATCACATCTAGCTCTAAGCTTTCCTTTAATTCCTTTTCACAAGTTAGAAAATTTAGCTGGGTGGGATCTTGCCCTGAGGTCATCATTCCCTTTATTCCATTTCTTAATCTGTCTATCTCCAGCTCGATTCCACTTCATGCTGCTCCTTTTCTCTTCAAAATTTACATTTTCCTGCTCCTTTTCATTATAAATCTGTATAAGAGTGACCAGTAATACCCACACAACAGAGTCAATACTAGGCTGTTTTGGGATCTTACCCTGAGGTCACTATTCCCCTTAGTCCATTTCTTAATCTATTTATCTCCTGGAACACAGGACTTAGCTCCATTCCACTTCCTGGTGCTCTTTTTCTCCTCAGCTTTCTCCTCCTTTTCATTATAAATCTATGAGCATGAACATGGGTAACCACACAACAGAGTCAGTACTAGGCTGTTTTGAGATTTCCTCTGCCAATGGAATTAATCCAGATCTCTTCACTTTAGCCTCCAGCAGATTCTTTGAGCAAAAAGCAGCCACTTTCTTCACCAAAACATCACAAGAATGATCTCTAGACAACACACTAAAATTCTCCTCCTCTGAAACCTCTTGAGCCAGCACCCCCCCCACCCCCAGTTCAAATCATTTACAACACCTCTGTCATCCATGCTCCTACTACCATGGCCCATTAAGCAGTGCTTAAAGCATTCCACTGCTTTCCCAGCCCAAAGTACCAAAGTCCAAACAAAAACATGGTCAGGCCTATCATAGCGATACCCCAGTCCTGGTACCAATTTCTGTCTTAGTCAGGGTTTTTGTTGCTGTAAAGACACCAGGACAATGTCAGCTCTTATAAAGGAAGACATTTCATTGGGGTGGCTTGATTACAGTTAGAGGTTTAGTCCATTATTGTCATGGTGGGAAGCATGGCAGCATGCTGGCAGACATGTTGCTGGAAAAGGAGCTGAGAGTTCTTACTTCTTGACCCATAGACAACAGGAAGTGGTCTATTTCACTGGGCATGGCTTGAGCATATGTGAGACCTCAAAGCCTTCCTCTACAGTGACACACTTCCTCCAACAAGGTCACACCTATTCCAGTGAGCCCACACTGCCTAATGGTGCCACTCCGTTTGGGGCCGTTTTCCTTCAAACCAGCACACCAGGTACTACTAAAAGCACTGGCGCCCCTCTTCATGCTCCTGTTACTCTGTTTTGACCATGAACTGTTTCCAGATTTATAACTAAACTGAAATTACTCTTTTCCCTGGACCCTGGGCTTTAGGAAACATGGGCTGTGCACCTGCTCAGTGAGCAAGCCAGCGACCTTACCAGTCTCCAGTGCAAACCTTCTGTGACCTTAGCCTGGGGCTTGTGTCCAAACCTGAGATCTCTTTCCACTCCCTGCCTCAGTACATTGAGGTGCAGAGAAGTAGACCTGTCAAGAGAGACTTGGGGTTCTGGTTTGCCTTCAGGAACAGTGCCCTGGAGTGGCCTGAAAGAGCACCCATCTTGAGACTTAGGACATGCTCGGGTGAGCTCGATGACATGCTGGGGTATGGGCAGGAGAGTAGGTGTGTGCTGGTTCTTAGTGGGGACCTGGGGCACACCGTCCCCATGCTTCAGTTTCCTCAGGAGTGGAGAGGAGGTTGGGCTGGTGTGTTTGACAGCATGCTGGGTGGATAGGAGTTGGGCTAGACCAGTGAATGGCCGGCGCTCTTGACAGTCTTTCGATTCTTCATTGTGACTTTTCTACCCTCAGTTAGGGAGAATTTGGAGGCATTGGCAGGGGAAAGCTAGTAGCTCATAGTGTTCATTTCTCAGAGATTACCTTGTGCTAGACATTCTGTGAGGATTAAATCATCGCCATTTATCCCGAGAAGAACCAGAGAGGCTGAGTGGTTTATTACCGTCACACAGCTTCCACATAGCTACAGAAAAAGATCTGAATCCGCTTCTGGTTGACTCAGAGCTTTTGGCCTTAATCATATGGGATTTTTGTCTCTCTCTCATTCAATCAAGTGTTCCAGGCACAGTGTCAAGAGCTAAAGATAACAGCAGTAAGCAAACCAGGCAAGAATTCCTACCCCATGGAGCTTGCGTCCTAGTACAGGAGAATCCCTCCTCCCATTACCAGATTCTTCTATCACATTGTTTTAATCCCATAGTTGATATAAATATCACAGTCTTTCTCCAGTTCCGTAGGGGTCTCTGTCCACTTGTCCCAGAGAGCATCAGGACGGCTCGCACACCCTGGGCTGTCCTGGTGGGGTGTGGTTGTTTACCAGCCATCAAGAGAACGGGGCTACTTGGCCATCCCAGCACCCCAGATTTGGCTTTCGAGGTGGGGGGCCCAGGGCTTGCTGTGAGCTGTTCTTGGGCGTATTTAGCAAGGTCCCTTGCTGGTGCTTTTCATTTGGAGCTGGGCCTGGGCCTTGTGGATGGAGGACAAGGTCAGCTATGTGTTTTTGTCAGTGTTGGGATCAGTCGGTGCCTGGAGACGGGTACTTTCCTTTGACTCCCGGACAGAGGAAGGGATGGGCCCGAAGAGTGCTTCCTGCCATCCTGTGTTCGAGGCCTGCTGAGTGAGAGGTCTAGGTTTGATGTTGCCCCTGGTGTTCTGACATTGGGGATTGACGGGAATGGTCACGGTTGTCATCCCTAGCTGTGTATCAGGCACTGGCCCAGAGTTTTCACGTGTTACTCCCTTCCTCTGAGGCTGTTTGTTTAATTTTTGTTTTATGTGTATGGGTGCTTTGCCAGCACGTGTGTCTCTGTACCATGTGTGTGCAGTACCTGCGGAGGCCAGAAGAGGGTTTTGGATCTGGAACTGGAGTTACAGGCCTCTATGTATGGGTGCTGGGAATTGAACCTAGGTCCTCGGGAAGTGCTCTTGACCACGGTGCCATCTCTCCAGCCCTCAGATTGTCTTTTGCCATTGGGAAAATAGGTTAAGAAATCCCCTCAAGAGCCGGGCGGTGGTGGCACATTCCTTTAATCCCAGCACTCAGGAGACAGAGCCAGGCAGATCTCTTATGAGTTCGAGGCCAGCCTGGTCTATAGAGCGAGATCCAGGACAGGCTCCAAAACTACACAGAGAAACCCTGTCTCGAAAAACCAAACTAAAACAAAGAAGTCCCCTCAAGTCACATGTGTAGAAAGGCTCGCACTCTGTCCAGAGCTTCAGAGTCACCTCTCGCTAATCAGCCGGCTCTCTCTCGAGCCCTCCACTGGGCTACTCAGAGTAGTGATAGATAGATTTTTCTATAACTGTAGCAAACCACAAAAACTTTAGTTTTGTGACCTAATATTGGTTGATTGGTGGGCATTGTCGTATTATGTTCTTCTCTCCTCATTTTCTGTTTATCCTGTCCTTCCCTCAAAATGTCCCCAGGTCTGGCTAGTTCTGCCCCGAGGCCGGAACTGCAGCAGATTGGAACAGACTGTGGGGGTGGGGTGGGGAGGGGTGGGGTGGGGTGGAGTGGCCCATTTGAGATGGAGGACTCCAGCTTGTCTTGGGTCTTAGTTTATTTTCTACTGTATACTAAACACCACAGACTGGCACAGTTCTGGAGGCCAGGAAGTCCCAAAGTATGGAACCCAGTCAGGGCTTTCTTGCTGCTGTATCATGTGGCCGAAGGGCAAGCTGTCAGGAGGTACCAGTCCGAGGAAGCCAGTCCAACCCAGTTTCTTCTCAGTAACGCATTCTGTGACTGTGGCATTAAACTCATTCGTAAGGGTGGAGCCCTTAAAGCCCATTCATTCCCTAGCCTTTGGTTTTGTTGGTTTGTTTTTGTGACAGTTCACGCTGGCCTGAAACTGGTGATCCTCCTGCCTCAGCTTTTCCAGGTGCTGGTATTGTAAGCATGTAGCATCACTCCTGGCCCCTAATCCACCTCTCTACCTTATAGCGGCTGCTAAGTTTCAAGGGTATCAGAGGGGACCTCGCATCACAGCCCAGTGCAGGGCTCATAA